TATATATATATATATATATATATATATATATATATAATATTAACATTCGAGTCAATTCAAGCTGAACATGAACGAACAAATTTTTGTTCTTGTTCAACTTGTTTATATTTCAAGCTTAAAATTTTTTTCGTATTCAGCTCGTTAGACTTAATGGAGGAGTTGAACACAAGTTACCTAACGAACTGAACATGAGCTATTCGCAAACAACAAGCCAAATTGGTGGAAAAATTTTTTGTCCGGACTCCGGACGTAGCTCTATTTACAGACTCCAGTAATATGTCACCACATGTGCTACATCACGGAGGTTATTGTTAGGTTATTGAAGTGAAATTGATGAGGTTATTAGGGGTTATTGGGAGGTTATTAGGGGTATTGTGGAGATTAATGTGGTGGGTTATCAAAGTGGAATCACAGATGTTATTGAAGGTTTATTATGGTATTATTGTGGGAGTTATTGCCTAGAGTTATTGAAATGAAACCACAAAGTTTATTGGAGTGTTATTTTTGGTTATTGTGGGTTATTGCACAAAGTTATTGAATTGGAACTGCAGAAGTTATTGAAAAATTATTGAGTTAATTATTGAGTGATTATTAGGATGTTATTGAAGTTAATAGCCCAATAACCCATTAATAACTTCTCCCAAAATAAATTCACGGTATCACTCCACTAACATGTTCAGTTTCACTTTAATATTTTTCGAAGGACTCTGATATACACACACGACAGCCGTAGGAAAATCTCGAGAAAAGCCTTCTTCCTTGTCGCATATCGTTTCACTTCGATCTCAGACCTCTCCCGCCAAACCCTTCCCATGAACTCCGTCTCCTCCGCCTTCAGATGCAAACTGCGCCTATTTCCGGCAAATTTTAAGTTAATCTGCACCGCTTCTCTTGATTCCAGGCATTCTCCACACAACTTTCGTTGCAGAAAGCCTGCAGCGCTCACTGGAACATCTAGGGTTAGGATTAACAATGCTGAGCTCAAGGAGAACTGGCTGGATTCATTTCCCTATTTGTGAAATGGGAAGGCTTCCCGTTGAGGAAACAGAACAGCTCGAGGGGGTTTCTAGCCCTAAGTGGGTCATTGGGATCGATCCGGATGTTTCAGGGGCTTTGGCTCTAGTGAAAGAAGATTCTTCTGGTTGCACAGCTCAGGTCAGCAGCTTTTGTTTTTTGTTCTTTTGCATTTTCTTTTGATTTTTTTTGCCCTTTATGGCTTCTTTTGGTGTTTGAAAGAAAATGAATATTTTGTTTTTTAAAGTTTTGTTTGTGAAAATGAAATCATTTCACATGACATCAATGTTGGTGTTCAAATCTAGCAACAAAATGGTGAATTTAACTATTCTTTATAATTTTCGAAGCCTGCTTTTTACCTTCAAGTAAATATATGAGCCCTTGACAAGTTTCTATGTCCTGCAAATGTTGAAGTTGAGAGTGGCTAGCATTGTTTCGTTTCAGTTTTCATCAAAGTGGAGCATGCCTTTCCAGCAGAAACAAATCTAACTCCTAAACTTCATTTTTTACATACATACCACCTTACCTATTCGTGAAAAGTGTATTTGACTTTTTAAAAGTTAAAATAGTGGCATTTTATGTGATATGAAAGATTTGGGTGATATGAAAATAAATAAGAATTGGGTGTTATGTATGTACATGCCCCTTTGTTTTTTCAATTACATAGCTACAGAGGAGTTCATTTTGCAATCTTACTGTAAGTTTTAAAGTTGGTTTATCTAATTCTTTTGATAATTTATTGTTCTGTTATTGGGACATGTTGTCTTGTTCAAATTTTGGTTTTTTTGTAACACTTTGATAACATGTCTTATTACCATCAAACTATGGCACTTCTAACTTAGCATTTTGTTGGGGAAATTACATACATAACACTCGAAACATTGTTATTTACAAATCTAGCACCATCTTTCATTGATTTTTCAAATTCTTACAATCTCACTCCAATATCAAAATCCACGATAAAACCCCAACCCATATTTTTCATTGTTATCAAATTCTCAATGGTTTGATCTGTGTAAATGCATTGTTTCGGTGGTTCAAAAAGAATAACGTTGATGCTAGTTTTGTGAATAACAATGTTCTGAGTGTCGTTTATGTAGCTATCCCTTTGTTTTATATATGGTCTATTTGGGGCAGTTCCGCTGTTTGAAGAAGTTGTTGTGAATTTTCTGTAGAAGAAGAAGTTGTGGTGGCTATTACAATTTTTTTTTTTTTATATAATCTAACTGCAGCAGCTACCCAAGTAGTCAGATCTAGTGGCAAATGCAGCTTTTGGCTGCAGTTTTTTGAAAAAAGCACACAAAATGAGTTCTGTCAAACAGAAAAAACTGTGGTGCGGCACTACATCACAGCCCCAAACACACCCTTAGTTTTTTCGTAGAGATATTCGTGATGTTATTATTCGTATTCTAATTGCTTGAGCAATGAATGCAGTACTTATTAGTCGAGCTTGCAGGTGTTTGACACCCCCTACTTGCAAGTCTTGGTTGGAAAAAGAACTCGAAAGCGCATAGATGTGAGGTCTATTGTCCAATTGCTTCATAGTATTGGCGCTCCACCTGGTATGATTTCTGAAAATAAAAAATATATATATTGGAAACTTTACATGCACACCACTCAATTCTTATGTATTTATACTTCAAATTTTACATAAATGGCACCTTACATATGCATGAAAAGGTGTATTTCTCTTTTTAGAAGTTACAATGGTGGTATGTTTTATGTTATAAGAAAGATATGGGTGGTATTATCTTTATTATTTTTTCGATTATGTTCATCTCTGGCTTGTCAAAAGTTCAAATTGTGAAAATTATTTAGAATGCTCGCTGATTTTATGTGATTCTAAATCATTGCTGAATTTCTTAGATTATTTCTATCATTTTGTTATTGGTTATTATTTATGTTCAAGTATTGTCTCTTTATATTTATTGGTTTAAAGCTGGATTAAATTGTAGCCTGTGAATCCACAAATTCTTTTGCATGAATGCTTATTGTGCATTGTATTTGTTGCATCAAGAAATTCTAATTTTGGATAATATTGTTTGAAATTGGTACCTAATTTATGATCACGTCATCATGCCAACTATTGGTTGGACGTTAACTCGATCAATAAGAAATTTTGTTATTTAATTATGCAATCTAAACATAATTTGATAGGTTTTGATTCTAGCCAGCAATAACATAAGTTACATAACTATCGTAGCGTTTAAAACTACATCTCAATATTTGATCAGAGATGATGCTTTTTGAAAATTTTCAGGTTGGATCAATGATTTCAAACATTCCTTTTGAAATATATAAGTATCCGATTTTAAAATATTCAAATGTGTTAAATCACAATTGATTCTACATGTTTAATATTATGGAGATGTGTATGGAATAATCACAGGTTGGTATGAAACATAAGCTTAAAAGAGAAATATTGTCATTCAATGAATATATGAATCAACTATATAATCAAAGTCAAATTAAGGATTTTTAATAAGATAACTATGGTATGCATTAGCATTATGCAAAGTTATAGGTTTTTGAGGTAAACAATATTTGCCTTTATAGAATTTTATTTCTATCATTTGTTTCATTAAAATTCATTGCGAGAAATTTAGGTTGAACTAAGCCATAACTGAAAAAAACTTACGTAAATGTTTACACATATTTGATTTTTCAGAAGTATTATAGTCGTCTAATTTGATTGTCATGCCAATGGTTAAAGTTCAAGAAAAATCAATAATATCCCTTTTAATGTATAGAATTAATCTTCTAACAAAAACTAACTAGTGTCAAGGCTTTATGCGAATACTTAATGTTGTTTGCCTTAAAATAAGCTTAAAGCTCATCAACAACAACAACAAGAAGCCTTAAATGGGATCGGCTACATGAATCCTTTTTCTTCGTTGCATCCTATTGAGTGTCATATTTTCAATTAATTCTAATAAATTAAGATCATTTTTTATATAATATGTCCAAGTCTTTCTAGGTCTAACTCTTTCTATCTTAACATAAGTCGAATTAAAACATCAAACCTAACCGGATCTCCAGATGGTTGGCTTTTAATGTGACCAAACCATCTAAGATGACTCTCCCTAATTTTGTCTGTCACTGGAGCTACACCAACCCTATCACGGATATATTCATTTCGCATTTTGTCTCCAAGTGTAAAGCTACTCATCCACCCAAGCATTCTCATCTCAAAAACACTTAACATAGTTTTATGCTTCTCTTTTAAAGGCCAACATTTTGCGTCATAGAGCATTGTAGGTCTCACCACAATCTTATAAAATTTTCTTTTCAATTTACGTAATACTTTTCTATCACACAATAGGCTTGAGGCATTCCTTCACTTCGATCAACAAACTTGAACTCTACTAATTACATCCCCATCTATATCTCCATCGCTTTGAACAATAGACCCGAGATATCCAAAGCGTTCAATCCTTTTAATAATTTGATCACTCATAGTTACAACTTTGTCACTACAGGCATTACTACTAAAATTACATCGATGTGTTCAATTTTAGCTCTACTCAAACGAAGGCCTTTAAACTCCAAAGTAAGCCTCCATATTTCAAGTTTTTCCTAAGCTCTTTATCTAGTTTTATCTACTAGAAGGATATCATCAACGAAAAACATACATCAAGGTACATCCTTTTGTAAATGTCTAGTAAGCGCATCCATAAATAAAGCAAAAAGATATGGGCTTAAAGCTAATCCCTGATGTAATTCAACTGAAATAGAAAAATATTTGATTAATCCTCCTTCTGTTCGAACATAACTAACAAATCTAGTATACCTATCTGTAATGACTTGAATATAAGTCTTATCAACGCCTTTCTTCTCTAGTACCCTTCAAAGAATATCTCTTGGAACTTTATCGTAAGTTTTTTGTAAATTATTAAAAATCATTTGTAGATCCTTCTTATTTTTTATCTACTTCTCTATCAAACCTCTCAATAGATGTATTACTTTCATAGTAAACTGACATAAATCCAAACTGATTATGAGATTTCTTTGTAATACGTCTTAACCTATGTTGCCTCTCTCATAATTTTAAAGCATGACACAATCAACTTAATTTCTCTATAATTTGCACACTAGTGCATCCTTTTTATTCTTAAAAATAGACCAAAATACCTTTCCCCACTCTTCATGCATCTTTTTTATTTTTATAATAATATTAAAGAGTTTTATAAGCCGAGAAACTCACAAATCTCTTAAGTAGTTTCACACTTCAATTGAGATATTATCAGGTCCTACAAGTTTTCCATTCTTTGTTTTCTTTAAAGTATCTTCAATCTCTTTTTTACTAATGTGACAGTAAAAATGAAATATTTTATTATTATTAACGATATTAAAATCACTAAGGTCGGTCGTATTTTCAGAAACGTCATTGAAAAGTTTATCAAAATAACTCACCCACCTATATTGAATATTTTTTCTAAGAAAAATATTTTTTGATTTTCATCTTTAACACACTTTACTTAAGTTAAATCTTTACTTTTCTTTTCTCTTTATTTGACCAGTTTATATATATATATTTCACTTTCTTTAGTATCTAATCTATTATAAAGAGATCTAAAGGTAAAATTTTTAGCGTCACATATTATTCTCTCAGACTCCCTATGGGTTTTTATATTTTTCCCAGTTTTCTATGTTTTTACATTTAAATCTATTTTTATAACATAAATTCTTATATTTTTTTCTTTTTTTGCACATTATTATTCCACCACCTATTAATTTTATTTATAAAAAATTTTTCTTTTAATTCTTCAAGTATATAGGACGCAATGGAGAAAAAGGATTCATGTAGCCGACCCCACATAGTGGGATTAAGGCTTTGTTGTTGTTGTTGTTGTTGTTGTATTCTTCAAGTATATTCTTTGTCACTTGTTTAACAGTGTTGATACTTTATCACATATAGAATTTACTTTTTCGTAAACAACCCTAATCTTGAAATCTTGAAGCTTACTCGTAAAAATAATTTTATTTGTCTTTTAAGTGCCTCTATTTAATTCTATGACAGTGATTTGTAGCATTCTTTATTTTATAACTCTTCATCTTAAAATTCAAAATTAATTATCGATGTTTACTTAAATTCTCACTTAAAATGAACTTACGATCTTTACATTCTTGACAATATCTTTTTCTCATAAGAAAATAATCAATTTATGTTTTATTAGATTCATTCTTTAAGTAATAATATGCTCATCTATTTTCTTGAATAAGTATTAACAATAACAAAATCATACGCTAAAATAAAATTTAATATAACTTCATCTTCTTCATTAATCACTCCAAAATGTAGCCACCATGAATATTTCTAAAATCTTTTACCGCTCTTTTGACATGTTCATTTAAATCTTTTCCAATCAAAATTTTTTTTTCAAGTGGCATCATTTGTATAAATTATTTTAGGTCATTCCATAATTTTTCTTCAGAACTTATATCTAAACCTACTTGATGAGCATAAGCACTTATAATTTCAAAAATCTTAGTATCAACAACAATCTTAAGGGCAATAATTCTTTCTCCAATTCTTTTAATTTTTGCAACATCATATTTCACTCTTATTTATAGTTACACCTACACGATTTCTAGCATGACTCTTGCTTGAATATCAAAGTTTAAAATCTAAGCTATCAATTTTCTTATTATTTTCTTTGACCCATTTAGTTTATTAAATGCATAAATTATTTATTTTTCCAGGAATCATAATATCAGCTAATTTCATTAATTTACCTGTGAGAGTACTTATATTCCAATATCCTATCCTAATATTAGTTTCATGGATTAACTTCTTTACCCACAAACGTCTGTAATGTTGGAATTCTTACTTATTCAACGCTACACTCAGATGCCGGTCTAGCGACTTTTGCTCACTTTTCACTGTATCTAGGTCATATAACATGTTGCTTCTAGTGTATGCCCAAGTATTTACACAATAAGCAAAAAGATTTATGTCATGATTTTTCGACAAATTTTACGTTGGCTATCAACTACCTAACGCAACCCTTCACTTTTCACATTCGGGGTTTGGGACTGGGCAATGACAGTGTTAAATGTTAAAGTTCATCAATCTGGTTAAATTTTAAATGTGCATTTTCCTAAAATCTATGTTTTTCCCCTTTTTTTTCTCTTGCCATTTCGTTTAGTTATTTTAAGAAGATTATTGTTGCATATAAATATATCATGATTTCATAGTTTGTGTGCGTATAATTTCTTTATTATCTTTTTCTCTAGAAATTAACTATAGGCCATCAGTAGTATCCCTAAGATATTACTTTAGTTTTTTATCATTTTCATTAGTTTTCTTATATCTTATTATTCGTGTTATTTGTCTAATGTGCTTGACGATAATCGTAAAAAATTGCCTATTAGTTATCACATTTTCAAGCTTTTTTCTTATGCCAATATGATTTTTGTAAATTTTAAATGTGATAAAATTATGTTATGTTTAAATCTAATATAAAATTTCATCAGGATCTTTTAAGAAATTGATGCAATTAAATTTCCAAGTCCAAGGAAAAATTATTTGCAAAATAATTTTTCTTTATTAATTTAGATT